TTGTTCCCACTTCCACTCCGAGTCGCAGGGTTATATAAAGGTAGAGGGTGGGGACACACACACACACACACACACACACACACACACACACACACACACACACACACACACACACACACACACACACACACACACAGGAGCGATGTTTGATGCAAGTCGCCAGGGTTGGCGAGGCCATTTGCACTCTACAGTAATAAAGGCAGGCAGAAATACAAGAGGAGCCGCTCACTCCAACACACACACACACACTCACACAGACACACACTATTTGATTTAATGTGCGGCAAAGAATGCTGTCAAGATGAGACCAGCAAGTGCGCAGATACACACACACAGACACACACATAAGCAGGGCACGAAGCAGCTGCAATAAGAATCACACCATGAAAGGCAGCATACAGAGCGAGAGCGCACACACACACACACACACGCGCACAGTTTCCAAGGTGCAAGAGGACGGAGACAATGTCACAAGTGCTGCAAAACACGACAATGGTAAACACACACGGACGCGCACAGACGGCTGCGAGTCGGGGCCCTGAAGGTGTGAAAACGCAGCAACAACAACAACACACCACCTCCGTCGGGGAGCGGCGTGAGGTGACGGGGAGGAGCGCCGCCGGGACACGACGAGCAGAGATGAACGGGAGCCGGTTCAATGGGCCGACCGGGCCGACTGCACCACGATGCAATATTTAAAGCTCTTCTAACTAACATATTTTAGTCTGCACAATGCTAATAATACATGTATTCAATCGACACAAAAGAGGCGCAGGCGTCTCCAGGGTTAAAAAGAAGGAATGAAAGTGGCCTCTTATAGTCCAATCTGTGCCGACCTCTTTCTCTCTCCGTCTTGCTCTACTTCCCAAAGCCACAGGACACACGGAGGCCTGCTGCCGTCTGTCAACACACACGTTTAGCAAACACTGTCTACCTCGCATGTGGACAACAACAAAAGAGCATGTGCCAGACAAAATGAGGTTCGTTTTGTTCGAGTGTTGCAGAGTTCAAGAGCCAAAAAACAAGGAGGAGGAGGAGGAGGAGGAGGAGGAACACCACGTGCACGTCAGCGGTGTGTTCGGCAAGTTCGCTAATCGTGTTTCTGCTGGTTTGCACTTGTTTACCTCGAGCACAGGGCCGCTATCTGCCCCCCCCCCCCTCCCCCTAGTGCGGGCCTGCAGGCCCCGACATGTGACCAGCGTGTGCGTGTGTGACACGAGAAAAAGGCATGTGCTGAGAATAAGAGCGTGTTCATTAAATATGTGCGAGCTGACAATGACAATAAATGTCTCGCACATACGGGAGGACTCTTGGTGGTCTCTCACACACACACACACACACACACACACACACACAATATGGCGGCCTCTTTGTCGGAGCGATTACAGATTAAAGAGCAGAGCACCGGCCTGATCCGGGCCAGCTCGGGCCGTAATGGACGCGACGCCATCGGAGCCATCGGAATGGAGGATCGAATTCACTTCCTGGCTATCGGCCAATCGGTGCTTCCGTTTCCGAGCTGGTCGTTGCAAAGAGTCGGGGCCCAATGACCCCCAACAGTCGAAGGGCTGACGGGAAACGACCCTGGCGGGCGCAGCGCCGGGGCCCGTCTCAGCGCGTGACGAGCTTGTGTTGCGGTCGCCCGGGAGACGGTGAGTGTGTGTGTGTGTGTGTAACCTGAGCTCGAGGGGATTACAGACTTGCATCGGACTACGCGGCGATACAGAAGCAGCACAGAGGTGAAGCCGGTGTCGGGTCGCTTACACCCCAACGCGGTTTAGCTGGGCGTGTTGCGAGTCAACGTGTGTGTGTGTAGACATGTGCACAATATGAACACCCCCCCCCCACACCCGCCCGACATGCACAGAGTGGAAAAACCTGCATTTTTCTCCCGTCCAGGAATCCGGCTTAGCAACGAGCTGCAAAGGAGATTACGCGTGGGAAAAGCGCTTGGTCATGATATCATCCAGCTGTTGCTTTACACTGACTGGACACCGTTGCACATCGGTCACGGAAAGGGCCTCAACGGTGACCTGCAGGATTCCACCCACCGGACAGCTCAAATAATAAAGCCAATAAAAAAGGGCTTTAGGGAGTCCGACACCAGCCGAGGCCCCTTGGCTCATTTTCCAGCCTCCCAACCGAAACCTGCGACCCCCGAGAGAGCGAGTTGTCCACGATAAAAGAGCGCTCTACCGCGGGGAGGGGGGGGGACGGGTTT